TGAAAGTCTGATATTGGCAGACCACAGCAGGTTGACACGTCTCGTGAAATGCGGAGCCTCGAAATTCTCGCCATGTGGGCGAAAAGTAAACACGCCAGCAACTCGTCTCAATTTGGTCTTTATTATTTTCCCGTCTTGACCTTGACCAGAATCGTTTGTCAATTAATGTCCAACACGAACCGACCAACCCTTTTTCCTCCAAATCTTATCGGACCCTCTCGCGTGCGAATCGCCTAGGCATGAAAACATATAACCGTTTTAAATAATGTACAAAAGGCATCGATTCTCCGGCGGAAGATCGCGCGACCGTGACCTGGCAACGAAAACTCCTTCGCCCATATCTGGGAATATGAATTTTCTTATTGACACCAACAATTGTCGCAGCAATCTTCGCTGCTGGCGAAAATGAATCAATGGACACAGCAGCGAAGTGAGAGAGCGGACACGTGATTTCCCAAGCGCCTAAATTTAGCCTCGGCTGACGGCAATGAGCGCAAATTCTTTCTGCGCGCCACCAAATTTAAGTCGTGAGGAATAAATAAAGCGCATTTTCGAGTTGAAACGACGCACTGTGTGATGTTTTTAAAACGAACACCTGCGTTTAACATTCAGTCAGATCGACGCGGCGTTTCCTTTAAAGGAACAAAGTTGATGCACAATTCGTCGGCCATTGTCGCCGTAAAGGTCACACACTGCCGTGCGAATTGCGTTGTAATTGCGCGAGCACGTTTAAGTGCTGCCGCGGGCAGATTTCAATTTTTTGCTAATTAGTCCTCAAGTGAATTAACAACGACGTAAACCGCCAGACATTCCTCGATTTAGAAACTAAAATTGCTTGTATTGGGAATTTTAATTTTTAATTTAAATATTTATAATTTATTTCATCTAAAAATTGTAAAATTTATTTAATTGGCTTGCATCATTAAGTATTATTCAAGATGATATGTTTTCCTCGATGAATTTTGATCATTTCTCAGTAACTAAAACGCTCTTCAGTATTTGAATTAATTTCCTAAAAATATCTTCCAAATTTACATTTTTTTTTTCTCACAAAAGGGAAGAAAATCTTTACATTATTTTTTGCAATTTTCATTTATTCATTGGGGGTCTTTTTGATCTTGGAAGTTTTATTTCCAAATCTTTGCTAGTGGCGTTGCCTTTTTGACCACCCATTTACAGTAATTGTTTTTTTCTTGATTAAAATGTTTGTGACAATTTGATTTATAAACAACACCACAATCACTTTCTAGTCTGAGGTCTGAGTCTCATTTTTAATTTAATTTTAACATCAGTAAAAGAGATATATTTTATTTATTTATTATATTAATTGTGTTCACAAACAATTTTTAGAATATTTATAGTGTTTTATAGAAAACCTACTAACAATAAATACACTCTTCAGTTAATTGAGGGAAGTGATCAACATGAAATTAATTTTTATTTTTTACATTCGTGCATTACTGAAATATTTAATAATGAATTCTCATTAACCGTTTTTAATTGGGACGAATCACTTAAAACTTGCAAAAATTCTAGAACTGCGCACGGAATTTCCTTTTTTTTTTCAAATCGTGCCAGCTGAAATAAAAAAGACCTTGTGCACGGCCGGTGGATGTACTTGGAACAAGACTCGAGATGCGCTGTGTGTAATTATAATTGCCGTGCAGCAGTCAAGTAAAGCGGCGAGAGGTCGTTGCCTCCCCCGAGATATTCGCAATCAGCAGCGGCGCGTTTTATTTTTTCAAAAGCGACTCTGCGAGTTTTAATTATTTGGCCCGAGATTCAGCCGCATTTATTTTCCTTGCTGCGACGACACGTTTGCTGCTTTTCGAGTTATTATTTTTTTTTCTGGCGCGCGCGAGCGACGGAGGTCTTCGCCATTTGGCGGCCGTGCAGGTTGCCGCTTTTCATTGTGAGAGCCGTGAATGCGAGGCAAAGGTCACAAACACACACACACACTGACTGTGAGCGCTGCTTTGGCGCCGACCTTGGTGCATTTTTGAACGCGGGCCACGAGCACAAATCGATGCAGTCCGACTGAAACTAAAAAATGTATAATTTCTTTCAACTGGATTATAATTATATTTTGTCCCAATGTTCTATCAATAGTTCACTTCCCATGAGCGACATTGAGATTTGAATTGCAAATTTCAATAGTGTTTGAATTTGTTTGCACACCGGCAAGTCAAGTAGGGTCATCTATAAATAAATTTAAAAATCCAATTAAGTACTTTTTGTAATAGACCATTTTACAATTATTAAAAGTGTATAATTTCTATTTGAGGTAATTTTTGTTAAGAAAAAAATTTTCTCAGTCTGAAATGCCTAAAAACAAAATATTTCTATGTTTTAATTGACAAAGATTTTTAATTCTTAATTTCTACTTTTGAATAGGGTAAGAAAAGTGACTTGACCACCCTTATCATTCATTTTATAAAAAAAATCGAATAATATCCAAGCTCAAATTGACCATTTTTTAGTGATGCTGGTTAATTAATCACCTTAAGATAAATTCTGCATGAAGAAATTCAGCTATATAATATATTGTGAAGTTGCCAATTATCAAAAAGCAAAAATCCCCTATTAATTAAATGTTGATATTTTCCCTAATTGTTTAACATCTAATTGTAAGATAATAAATTTAAATCCGATTGATATTATAATTTCCAGATATTGTCGTTTATTAATCTAAAAACTGCATGCAAAATTTGTTCTCCCATTTTGCTTGAATTTCATATTATTAATTCTTTTATGGAATGATATAAAAACAATGGAATTGAGAAAATTCTAGAAAAAAACCCAATAAATACATAAAAATAATAATTACATTAGGCTTATCAACAATAATATTACTCAAATTTTCTTACTTCGTCATTTTATTGTGCTAAGAATGTTACTGAGTTTCATCTTAAGGCTATTGATCTGTAGTTTAGGCTTGTTGTCGTCGGCGGCGTCCGGAATTTCGCTTTTCACCTCCACGTGTTCAAATTTAATCCTTTCCTGGTCGTCGTCCGGCGGCCGCTCCTCTTTGTCATCGTCCTCAGGTTCCTCCTTCACTTTCATCGATTTGAGCATTTTCTTTCGCATTCCCTGGATAATACTGGTTTGGCTCAGCTCGGAGATTTTGCGCTTCAACGCCGTGTTTTCCCGCTTTAACCGCTCCACCTTCTCTCTTTGTCTTTTGTTGTAGGTAATGAACTCCTCGTCCAAGTCCTCTTCCTCGTCGTCGTCCTCCTCAAAGTCCATTTCCTCTACCTCCTCGGACAGTTCCTCAGGAGTGGCCAGCTCGATGTTAGGCAACCAGTCTACCGCACTCGTTTCCTCCATTCCAGCTGGGAAACCTTGAAATGGAAAATTGCATAAATTAATCACATGAGCTCATTTCCAAAATATTTCTAACATTTTTATTGCGAGGCAATTGAATTTAACTAAAAATTACAAAAAATTAAACCTTACAAAGTTTCAAAATTTAAACTTTCTAAGTAAAAATATTTGATTATCAAAATTAATTTATAATTTGGCCAATAAATCAGTATTTTTCTTTTTCATTTTTTTTAAACATGTTTTCCAGAAAAAAAATATTAAGGGACAAAAAATTTGGGCCATTTTGCTTTCGGATTATTTTCATTATTTTGTTGAAATTCTTCTTTTAATATTTTTATTTTGAATTTTTTTGTTATTTCACCTTTTAAATTAAAGTTTAAACCAAAAAACTAAAAATTACACTCAAAAGGAAAAAGTGAAGTATTTAATAAATTTGCCTTTCTGTACGACTAGAAACAAATTTAAGCCAAACTTTGGCATTGCAATAATTTAAATGGTCAGTTTGAAGTGCAAGTCCGCAACAGGTCGTCCGAGAGCGGCGTCCAGCGACGCTCCTCGGGCCGTTGTTGCGAGCGCAGCAGCTGCGTGTGTCGCTTAAGCAGGGGGCCCACCTTGGGTGAAGTGCCTGTTGCAGACGAGGGCCGTCTCAGGGTCGGCGTGGGCCGCGTACTTCTTGATCCTGCGCAGCCACAGGGCCCTGCGGAGGACGCTGTCCGAGTTGAGGTCGTCGCCGAGGCGCGCCTCGGGCACGCCGAAGAAAGTGGGCCGCTCGTCGGCGTCGTCGGTGGCGGCGCCCGCCGTCGGCGGCGCCGCGCCGCCGTGCACGCAACTCGGGATGCAGCAGCGCTGCTCGGCAGACATGTTTGCTCTCTTCGCCTCCTCACAATCGACGGCCGAATCTGCCCTTTTTCGGCGGCGTCCGCGCGAACAGGCAGTCGGTCGTTGTTGTTTTTGTTTGCTTGCTGCGTCTCTCTGCTTCGGCCAGCGAACGCGGCGAAAGTGGTCGCCAGTCTCGCTCCACGGCCGCACGCCAACGACACCTACCGAACAATTTCTTTAATAATCTTTTATAATAAATTTACATGAAACAGATTCTAAAAGATATTTTTTTCAAATTCAATAAGAAAGCTTTTACTTTACCACTTTTTATGTTTGATTATTTTATCTGCATCATTCAAATTTTATTTTATTTTAATTAGCAAGTTTTAATTAAAATTAAGGACTTTCATATTTTTAATTCTGATAAATTGATTTTAATTAATTATAATGAATATATCCCTGGGTATAATAATTTTTAATTCATAGCATGCGCAAATTAACTAATTAGCTACAGATTCAGAAAATATTGAAGAGTCACAATTGAAATCTATTCCTTTCTTTATATTTTTTACTTGAACTAACAATAAGATTTAATCTATTTCAAATGTCAATAATTATTATTTTCTCCATACAAAATTATTTTTTTTCTTTAATGAGTGCAAAAGTTTCAAATGAAAAAAAAAAACAGCATGGATTTAGGGCCCAATTTTAAGAATAAATTGCTCATTATTTCTCAAACACACAATCTCCAGATCTTTAAATATATTCTATTTAACTCTATTATTGAATATAATACTGATTAAAAATATGCATAATTATTTCTACCAATAATTGAATCTCAATTCCTTCTGTTTCAGAATGGCGATCTTTGTATATCAATTCTGCACCCTCCTGTTGACGATCCTCAGAGCGGAGAAATGCCTTGCGAAAGATGGAACCCCACACAGAACGTTAGGTAAAAATCTTTTTTAATTTCTCAAAATGATATCTAACATTTTTACTGCGTATTTTTGATTCATTCTTCATTAATACATTTCTAAAATTTCAGAACCATTCTGCTCTCAGTGATTTCATTGCTGAACGAACCAAACACATACAGTCCAGCCAATGTCGATGCCTCGGTCATGTACCGCCGCTGGAAAACTTCGGATGGCAAAGACAAAGAGTACAAGAACATAATAAGGTATAATTTTCCATATAAAAATCAAACTTTTTTTTGTTTAACTCTGGATTTGAAAATTGCTCAGAATTAAATTTACATTAGAAAATTTTTAAGGAAGGTATCAAAATTAGTTTAAAATAATATGAATTTCAACTTTTTTTAAGTCAATGAGGGCGATCCAAAAGGCTAACTTGACCCTGGCTAAATTAACCTGGCCCGGGCTATTTTAACCCGCCATTCAATTTTGCTGGTTGGCTAAGTTACCCCGGGGCTAAATGAAGTTAGCCTGGGCCAGGTTAGGCTTTTGGATCGCCCTCAATATTTTGAATTTAAAAAAATTGTATTTAATTTAATAAAAAAGAGCATTTATTATTTTTTCAACAAATTTTAGGAAACAAGTTGCTGCCACAAAAGCGGAGGCGGAGAAGGATGGTGTAGTGGTGCCTACCACGCTGGAGGACTACTGCATCAAGACGCAAGTGAAGCCGCCGCAAGAGAGCGCCGTCGACATGACCGACTTCTATGACGACGATTACGACATGGACGACGATGATGGCGACATGTCGGACAACGGGGACGACTACGAAGATGACGACGACAGCGGCAACGGCGAGTCATGATCAACGACTTATGAAGAACTGAACGCGCACCCTTGTACATAAACAGTTACCCCCGCCCTCAGCCCCATCAAGAAGATGAACCAACCAGATACACAACAAACAGGATGATAATAATAATTAAAATGAGAAGATGATTTAAGAAGGAACATGAATTTGGTGTATGCGCGCCTTTTAATTTTCAAATTTGAGTTCTAGAAAAAAAATGCCACAGACTAATTGTGCGCCAAAACTGCCTCTGGTTATTTTTAACTTTTGCATTGTTAGATATTTTTGCTTTTCCTGATTCACCGAAATAAATCAATTTGTGGCTTTTTTATTTTTAATAACATAAGCGAGTTGGAGCTGGCACAAACTGCTGGTTGTGAATCATATTTTTCTCCGCTTGTGCAGCCAGCGAGCCTCGCCGTAATATATCAGCCGCTTATACCTTGACTTTCATAATATTACTTTGTGAGAATATTTTTTTTTCAGCATGCGTACTTTATAATTTTTGTTTGATGGTGTATTACGAGAATAAGGAAATATGTGAGATCTCATGATAAATAGCTCATAAACTAATTACTTACAAGAGACAAGTTATATAATTTTAAATCGAGCGCGCTCTTTTTCTTTCCTTGTGTAAAGTGTAAGCAGTAATTATTTGAGATCAATCAACATGCGAAAATTATCCTCCTATGCTTTTTTTGTGCTGGAGTTTTCTTTTTCAGGGAAACTCCTTTTTTGAGAGAAATAAATGCGTGAGATTATATAATTATTATCAAATAGTTTGTAAATGGAAGAGTGTATGTTTAAAATTGACGATCATCCAAACAGGTGCTGCAGCCACCAACAGAGATTGTGGTCCAACCAGTTAAAAAGAAGCACAAAATCGAATTCTCCTCCAACAGCATGTACGAATTTCTGTGTTTTAATTAGATGTAAACGATGGTGGTCGAGTGTAAATAAAAGTAATATTCATTTGTAGGTGGTAAAATTCATCACTGTATTTTATACCTCTAATGACTATTGTGGTCGGATAATGCTGATGGACTCTTCATTTACACGAGTGTTAATATTTTATTTTGTAATTTGATTGAGCGAATCAATTTATGCGTTAAGCAGATTCAAGAACAATCGTGTTTCGTCGGCACCATTTGCTTTGCAATCCTTAAGTTTATCAGAACTGATGATGATCGTTTTGCGTTATTATTAAGAATATGACTTCTGCTTCACTTGTCCTGTTTATTTTCATGGTCGTCGTGATTATTGAATGTTACTTTTGCTAAAGTTATGTAGCTATTTTCAAGCATGAAATAAATTGGTGGGTGTAGAATAATAACCAACATTTCTTTTATTTATCCAAAAAACATTGCTGGGTCTACAGTTTTTATGAGGACAATTTAAATATATTCATTTAGATTTTTTCCTATATTTAAAGTTGTATTACTCAAATCAAGCAAAATAAAAAATCCATAATTTTTTGGATCAAAATAATTAAGTCTGGCTTTTGTTAAATCTATAGTGCTTTATTTAAAATCACAAAATCAAATTAATACAGAAGTGCAATTTTTACATGAGAAAATGTCTCTCTTTGGGCACTCCTACGAGTAAGTTGTTCTTCGGAGTGCAAGTTTCCGGCACCAGTCGGGACATGTGCACCCGATAGCCGGCCTCCTTGGCCTGAGTGCACCGATCCGTGTCGATGATAGCCATGCACTTCTTTCCTTGGTTGGTTTTGTGGTTGTGTTCGTCGTGCGTCTGGTCGGCCGAGTGTCCGATCACAAGGTAATCACGGAGAGTGAGAGTCGTGTTTTGGAAGAGAGAACTGCGGGGGTAGCTGAGCTGGTGGTTGTCCTGCACCGAGCCATAACAGCAAGGGCAACTGACAAAACAGGCGCCCTGGTGGATGCACCGCTGGATCACAAGGTCGGTTGCAACGCCACATGCGTGCAGAGAAACGCCAATATCGAAAGGGCCCTAAAATATGATTGAAGAAATTCAAAATTAATAAATTTAAATAATCACAGAAATTTTAAGCTTTTAGAATTATGTCTGCAGCTTTATTCAAATTACAGCCCACATATAGGGCCGCCTGGGGTTTGGACTTCGGAGCATACTTTCTTAATGATCGTTTTGCACACTTAATATCCCAAAGTGGAGCAAAACCCAGAAATAAATTTCACAATTTTTTCAGACCGTCGCTTTAACTTTACTTAAAACTGCAATGGATCCCAAATTATTCATAATTCCTTATAAGGCACTTTTTTTTGTAACAGAACAAGAAAAATTAATTTACTTTAAAGTAGTCCAGGTTGCACTGGTAGAAGGTGACGTTGGACAAGTTAAGTTTGTTGACACGCAGCCTGGCTCTCTTCAGAGACTCCTCCTTGTTTTCGAGCAGAATGACAGTGCACCTGGGCAGGAAATGGGCTAGGATGATGCCTAAGTGGCCGGCTCCGGAACAAAAGTCCACAATCACGTCTCCGTTCTGAGCGAGTTTCAGGGCCGCCTTGGCCAGGTTCTCCAGCTGCTGCCCCTTCCGCTCAAGACGGGATTCCAGCAGCTGGCCCCCCTGAGGGTTGGCCTCCTGGGGAACAGCTTCCCAGTCAAAGGAGACGTCAAATCCAAACGGATTTGATTCATACTCAGGCGCAACAGGGACCTGAAATGAAAACCACAAAAAAAATGTATAAAATCATTATTATATTTAATTAAATAAAATCCAAGTTATTTATTTCATATTTCCAGTTTGAAAATTTTAAAAAAAAATTGTAAAAATTGAAAAAAATTTTGCGGACAAATATCTAAATTGTATGTAAATTTTAAGTTCTATATTTCAGTACCTTGAGGAGCGACTCATCAAGTTCGTCCTGTCTGGTGAACGTCCTCGCCTTGGACTTGTACCTTCTGGGATCAGATTTGTACAGACTCTGGTTGGGCACTTCTGGAACAATATACTGGACAAACATGGAATCCAACACTTTGCTCTGAGGCCGGACGACCACTTGCTCCAAAGCGTCCTCCACACCCGGCTGCTGCCTCATCAGGCCAAGCCATTTGCGCACCAGGGGCAGATGTTCCTTCAGATAAACGCTGTCCACAAAAGACAGCAACATATGGACGCAGGGAAGGATGATCATATCGGCCAAGGTCAAGGAAGGGCCTTCGGCAAAGCAGTGGTCCAGTTCCGAGTCTGCCACCTTTGCATGGTCCTGCCGCACTTTGCGGACGTTGTGGATTCGAAGGGGCTGCGACATGTGGTGTTCGAATCTGACAAGGTCTCGGGGAAAAGTCACTGGAGAATGGAAACAAGGAACCTGAGGAAGTAAAATACATAAAGATTTAATAAAATAAAATAAATCATAAATCCAATAATATTTTAGTTGGCTAGAATTTACGAAATAAAAAAAAAATACAAAATTCTCTTCCCAAAATTTGGGCTGGAACAATTTATAATTTTGCTTAAAATTTTTAGCAAAATTGTTGCTTTGTTAATCCATGCAATTTCCTTTAAGTTTTATTTCAATTTCAAACAAATTATTTTTGAATAATTGAATGATAGCAATGTCATTTTAATATACATAAGAATAAATAAGAATAATTAAAATTTTCATCTTCTTATTTGCTCAGTGCAATTAATTAAATTTTATTAATATTTAAAATCATGAGTTCCAATGAAATATAAGATAATTTAGTTCAGGAAATATAAATAAATTGAAAATAAGAAAAAAGTAAAATTTCAAGTTTTTTCTTTTTTTCGAATCCTCTCCTAACCTTGAGCGTCTGCTGAGTAGCTGCAATGATGTCCACCTCGCAAAACCTGGTCCATGTACTGGCCTCCGCGCACGCCATCAAACAGCCCTCCCTGAATCCGAGAAGCGCCCTGGAAAAATGCCCAGGGTGCTCCTTCAGGGTGCTCTTGACCACTTGGCGCAGGACAGCGCACAGACCGGCCACGCAGGTCTTGTCAGCGCCAACCTCCACAACAGGCAGGATGCAGTTTTTCGCACAGGTCGGCGCGTCCTCTAGTTTGGTGACCTTGAAAGGGTGTCTCAGCCTGGCTTGGAAGCCCTGCTTTTCGGAGGCGGCGCTCGGAATCAGGCGCAGCTCGACCGCAGGCGATTTGACAAAGTCGAGGATGAAGAGGCTTATCAGGGTTTGCAAAGGGACTGTGACTTTGCCACCGAGAATCGGATCCGAGTAAATTTCAAGGTAAAGGCAGTCCATATTTTTCATGATAAATTAGCAGGGCGAAGAAAAAATCAGTTTAAACTCCTCGAGCAAGTTGTCTCTGTATCCGTTGGAGCATTTCTTGGTCCAGCAGTTTTTGTCGGGCGTACACGACGAAGTACGAGAAAATTCCGGCAAGAAGCATCAAAGCCTCGAACGTCCAAAAGTTTCGCTCATCGATCCAAGTAACTCGATCGCAACTATAAAATTTAACGAAGCTTGTCAGACAGACATAATTTTGTGAATTATAATTTATTAAATTTGCAGAATAAAATTAAAAAGAGACAATTGCATTGATTGAACCCAAACTAGCTTCGAAATTTCCTTGAAATCAAGTGGCCAAAATAAGATCTATAGCTCAATCATTATAATTAGAAATAAATTCAATAAAGAGGAATAGTATGGTAAATTATAATAACATTAAAATTTCAAATGTTACAAACGTACGCTCTGAAAACCTTTCCAGAGATGGCACAAAGGATTGTCTCCTTGAAACCGGTGGCAATGCAAGCAGGCTCGCTTTTGCTGGCGACCTCAAAGTCTGAAATATTTTTCAATATCAAGATGATTAAATTAAAAATGAGATCAAAACTAACCGCCGCACGGAGCACAGTCTTTGACGATTTCAAACTCTTCGGTTAACCAGCAACCATTGCCCCTGGACGCGTTTTTGTGCGACTGCCGCGAGTGGTGGTGTCCGCTCTCGGACGTCCAGTAACTTTCGAAGATCAAAACAAGCAGCGTCAGTCTGCAAAAATTAACAACAATTGATATTTAAAGATGAAAGTCGACGTGAACATTGCATATTTTTTTTTATCCTTACCCTCCCAAGCAGATTATGGCAAAGACCATTTGCTTTTTAGAACAAGATTCTATCATTTTTCGTCACAGCATCCGCGTGGTCGGTAATTATGTAAATGCCGATAAAACTGCAACGATGATGTATTTAATTCTGCGAAATGCAACGTGTATTTTTTGTGATCGACATCAATGTTTACAAAAGATACCCACCCTTGATGCCCACTTCCAATTCCAACAGGCAGAGACATCTGCTGAATGGGAAGCAAAATGATAAATTCAAATAGAAATCCCAACCACACGCAGAAGCGTTTTCATTGGTATTTAATATCAACTTAAAAATTTGAGACAATTCGATTCGACTTTGACATTATTTCATTAAATTAAATTAAGCAACTCTTACTATCCCCCCACATAAAACATTCTATTTCATTTTTTAATGCTCAAAGATATTATAATAATGCAAAATATCAAATAATTGAAATAATACGACATAAACAGTGCTTGTTTTGTGTATTGATTTTATTTTTTTCTGCAATTTTTATTTTTACAATATCAAATTAAAATTTATCGTAGATATAAACGAAGTTGACAGAATTCATAAGAATACCGCATCTCTAAAATTGGACTGATCTTCAAGAACTTTCCATACACCTTAGGCTTTGACTAATTTCTCTGGAAATGTAGAAAACAAAAATAATGTACTTCATGGCTGGTATCAGCTCTCATTTATGACGACATAATATTCATAATAAATTAAAATAATTTCAAAGCAATCTTGCCTTTCTTTTGCTTTGTTTGAAAAATTATTTGTATTCATTGAATTTTATTTTCTTTCTTTTATTAGAAAAAAACCATATTTTACTTACTTTTCACAAGACATTCGCTGCAGCTCTTGCACGGTACAAAACGCTTTACAGCAAACGCCCTGTGGAAATGCTCGTTTTTTAGGGCAACTCCCACAAACTCTCGTACTTTTGGATTGATGGGTTCTTTTTGCATAGCTTCTTTGCATCTGCCACATTCGCCATCACACTCATGTTGGGAAGCACTGAATTTTTGCACAGGATTGGCTCTTGCAACTATTATTGTTATTATTATTATTATTATTAATATTATTATTATATTATTATTTTTATTATTACTATTATTATTGTTGTTATTAATTAATCCAGAATAAACCACGAAATTTCAGAAGGATGAAAAAAAATGTTCAATTATAAATAGCTATAATATATTACGTCCTCTTTAACTGGCTTATAATTAAATAAAAATAACAACATTTTTTAATTAATATAGATTGTACAAAAATCAGAGGAAATAAATCAAATCAGCATTTAAATAATCTTACCGCCAGTTGTATAGGCCACTATGGCCGCCAAAAGGAATAAAAAGTAGCTCAACTTCATGGCTCCTAAATTTGTAGAAATGATCTGACAGTGATTGTGAGATGTGAATATTGTATTCCCTTATTTATACCTCCCTAAAGCTGCAAAAAACTGTTTTGGTATTGGCCGATGACCGGGTTATCAACATTGATAAATTCAGAGAACAAAAAATAGCTAATCAATAAGCTACACTGTGTGTGTTGGTCGTGATTTCCGTCCCATTGTGAGATATATTGCAAAGGTCAATGATAGCTCAATAAAATTATAAATTGCGATTAAAATTCAGGACAATAATCAGCCGCGCCTTCTCCAATTCTGGATTTAGTATAAATGATAAACATTAATAATCCCTGTTTCTGTTTGATAACCTAAATAAATTATGTATGACATGTGTATTTATTTTATCAATTTTGATGTAAAATAGTTTAAAGCGAAATGTAAATTGAAAAATTTAAATTTAAATGAGTTATATTAAAGCTGACAATAATGAGAGCGGCACCTGTGATATCTCAGAAAATTTCTATATCATTTTGAGAATTACAGGTTTATTGAAAAGAAATCTCATTTTTAACAAGTGAAATAGTCTAGAAGTAAAAGCAGAACAATCACTTTTTTTTAATAATAATAATTAATTAATTGGGTTGCTATTTGTGCATCAATGTCAGTGATCATTATGAATGTAATTGATGTAAGATAATTTGATTGTGGTAATAATGATTTGAATTATAGTATTCATTGCTCTGCCTTTCTCTCTTCCAAGCCCCGCTACTTATTTTCCCTTTGCCGGTGGGTGGAACAAGACTTTTCTAATGATTCCGTTCAGTAGGGGCTTATTTTTTGTCCGGCTTTCTCTCGCACTCTCTTGCACGTTATCTTTCCCGCCCGGCAATCCATCACCGGTCAGGACGGACGAAAGTCACCCTGGCTCTCAATTGCCTGCCCCTTGGAGCAGCGCTGACCTATTTCTCGCTTCATTTGTGCCTCTTCATGAGAAATGCTTCCCTACGCGCCCGTTGCGACGTTCAGCCGGAAAAATTAATTCCGTATGTCTCTGTCGGAAAAAAAAAATATATCAGATTTTCAGAGATCTATTTATTTTTCATCAATAGATTAATTAAATAAAAATTAAAAATTTCATCACTGTTTTTCAAATCTCTGATTATTCTTTTACTTGAGTCTTGAGTAGAATAAATAAAAACAATAATTTAATTTTAGTATCTGTGAGCTGAGGTCCATTTTAGATAATTAACCAACGTACTCAAATGACCCAACATTGTGAAAACACAAAATCATGCAGATTGTTCAGTTATAATATCCTTGAGGCTGCTTGAGGCCCTTGATGCGTGATCTTTCATTATATTGTTAAAGATGTTAAAAAATAAAAAAAATAAAACACACTCGCACACTTGAGGGGCATGTAAATTAATTATATGAAGCAAGAGATCACTGTCTATTTTGATAAAAGCATCACTAACTTACCGAAAATTACTACACTTGTTTAATGCTAGAAATAATGATTTTTATTTAAAAAAATTGATTTAAAATAAAAAATATATCAATCTTTGAATTTAATTTATTTGTAAAATTTAATAATATTGAAAACTCGCATATGTGAATAGAGCTGAAGTGCTTGGCTTCTACCTAACGCTTCATAGTCACATAATCACAGGCCGATAACTAGTCCTAAAAAAAATATAAAATTTAAGTCTCTCCGATATATATCTGCTCAGAAACAATTGACTCTTTTGAAAGTGCCAGCATATATTGATTTTTGGGCCACGCACATTTTTAATATGGGCACATTGCAAAGAATGTAGAAGCAGAAGAAATTTTTCAAATTATACAAAAAAATTAATTCGTCACACGTCTCTTTATTTACCAGTGTGTTTGCTTTAAAAACCGCAGAAAGTAAATTCATTTGTTTCAGATTAACTTCATCCAATTCAGATTCATGTGGCGCACCTTTCAATGAAGAAAAATTCTAATTCCACATTAGGAATAAAAACAAGGTATTTGAAGGTAATCAAAAATAGAATTAGTCCTAAAAAAAATATAAAATTTAAGTCTCTCCAATATATATCTGCTCAGAAACAATTGACTCTATTGAAAGTGCCAGCATATATTGATTTTTGGGCCACGCACATTTTTAATATGGGCACATTGCAAAGAATGTAGAAGCAGAAGAAATTTTTCAAATTATATAAAAAAATTAATTCGTCACACGTCTCTTTATTTACCAGTGTGTTTGCTTTAAAACCCACAGATAGTAAATTCATTTGTTTCAGATTAACTTCATCCAATTCAGATTCATGTGGCGCACCTTTCAATGAAGAAAAATTCTAATTCCACATTAGGAATAAAAACAAGGTATTTGAAGGTAATCAAAAATAGAATTAGTCCTAAAAAAAATATAAAATTTAAGTCTCTCCGATATATATATGCTCAGAAACAATTGAATCTATTGAAAGTGCCAGCATATATTGATTTTTTGGGTCACGCACATTTTTAGTATGGGCACATTGTATAGAAAGCAAAAGAAATTTATTAATATGTTTAAAAAAAAAAAAATTTTTTTTTTTTTTTTGCCTCACGTCTCCTTTTTCCCAGTTTGTTAGCTTTAATAAGCTGGAAGCTTATTTTTAATTTTAGATAATTGTCATCGTGAGTTCAGATTCATGAAGCGCACCTATGCCACCTATGATTTATAAAGTTGCAAATAATGATATCTGAATTATTAATAGGTCCATGTGACCTACAAATAAATCTGTCAGAGTATATATTGAAAATTAGCTGTATTTATGCGACCAACTCTACTTTTATCAAGAACGTTTAGCCCGACTTTGACGGATCAGGCGCTTGGATGGAGTCATTCGTGTGTAACCTTTAAAAAGCTCCGATGGACCGGCGAATTAACAGCAGCTGCGTATTTTTGCCTTTGTTCACATAAAATTTTTATTATTTCACGCGAAAATGGACGCGACTGGGTTCATCGAGGCAGAATACAGAAATTTATAGATATGCCACAGCCGGCGGCGGCGACCAGATTGAGTGACTGAGCGCGCAGACCGTTCGTTCGCCATCACTTTATTGGATTCTTCCTGTGCCGCCCGCGATCTCTTTCCACAGAGTGACAAATCCATTTATCGGCGGAATGCGCGCGTGCCTAGCTCGATCTGTGTAAAAACCATTGTCATGGCCCCTCTCGATACAAAGTGTATCATATTGGCTGCGATTTATTTATTTCTTCCTCTGACAATAGGTTACTGCAGGGAACTTCTGATACGCTTTGTGCTCGCGTGGAATTCGGCAACGATCTCTCTGACAGAGAAATAAGCCGGCAAGGGTTTTCTCAATAAGAAACAATAAACTTTCCTGGGGTTTCTGAGAATTCTGATTTAAATCATTTGAGGGAAGGCGCATATCTTATTAGGAGTAAAATTGGCAATAAGGCGCTGAGCAGAGATATAAGAAATTGAGATCCAAATATATAAAATTTTATCCCAATGTGCAATTAAAATTTAATTAAAATAATACCAAAATAATACCTATACACACAAATTTGCTCCTAAAACAAGAAAAAACTTATATTGCTTTTCTAAATGAAAAAAAAATCACAAATTTCATCAGCCCAATATGTTTTAATTTTTTCCACAATAATTACGCATATATTAAACGTTACAATTCCAAAATTATCACATACCTCATTTTAATATTGCATTATTTATTATTTTTAATTAAAGACAATGGAATAATTTAATTTAATATTCAGTAAGTATTGTACACAAGTTTAATTTTTTTTTAATTTTAAGATTATAAACTCGGCTTGGGATATGGAATAT